TATCAGTGGTGCACGAGATGCGATGACGATGTAATGTCATTGCATTTTAATGTGTTTGTTAGCCTATCCAGTTGAAGCCACTAGATGCGGCGCTGCTGCGTTGTTAATTACAAATTACAAAAAGAGAACATCAATGCCGAGAAGATCTTGTTTACGTCAAAACTGAAACCAAGCCGTTCACACAGAACGCATATTTCGCGCATTTTCTAGAGGGACATCTATCACCGCTGCACTCACGTCTCGCACAAAAGAGCCGCATGTTTAGTTCAACTTTGAAAAACATATCTCGAGACTTTATGGTGGGTTTTTTTTCCCCCATCCCACTGCAACTTGTGTTTTTAAATGAAAAATGTACTCTGTGTGATTGGCTTTCGACCCTTTGTGTTAAACTATGAATACACAAGTGATGGTGTTTTGTTTATAGTTGTTTTATAAACATTATTTTAAACATTATGCACTTTTTTTCACAGATAAGTCATGTCTTATGCTTTGAATGAACGTGCATTACTTTTAGTAATATTTTGCTCGATGTGCCCTCTTGTGGCCTCTGGAGAGAAGCCAAAAGCTTTTCTTCACCCTAACTGAAATTATGCATTTTAAATTCGAATATAATTTGAATTTTGCTCATATTTAAGTACAAAATTAGAATTTCGTTTTTCAGCCATTTTGACAGCCCTAACACCCGGTGCTCATGCGTGTGACACGCGTGTGAAAGCGCACGCACCTGCTGATGGCGTATCCGTTGATCTGCAGGAAGCGGAAGAGATCCTGCGCTCGCTCTCGGTCTTTAGTCTTCTCTTTGGCCGTGAGCGTGTCGTAGGGCACCAGCAGCGGATGAGCTCCTCCTGCGGCTGAGAGAACACGCCACACGTCACGTGTGACCCTCACAACACGCCACGCACACGGAGAGCTCCAGACGAGAGAGAAACTAACCTCTGCTGCACAGATCACTCTTTTTCTTCTTGGCCCAGATGTTGTGATAGTTTTCAGCCACGACCTCAACCATCGACTGGAGAACAGAAGATTGACTCTATTAGCCGTGGAAAGTCCAGAATCTGTCTAGAACACACTGTACTATACACTGCTATATACAGACAATAATTAACGGATGAAATGTGACCCTGGAGCACAAAACCAGACTTATGTCGCTGGGGTTTATTTGTAGCAATAGCCAACAATACATTGTATGAGTCAAAATGATTGTTTTTTCTTTTATGCCAAAAATCATTAGGATATTAAGCAAAGATCATGTTCCATGAAGATATTTTGTAAATTTCCTACTGTAAATATATCAAAACTTAATTTTTGATTAGTAATATGCATTGCTAAGAACTTCATTTGGACAACTTTAAAGGCGATTTTTAAAGGTGATTTTTTTGCACCCTCAGATTCTAGATTTTTAAATAGTTGTATCTTAGCCTCTAAAGTCTTTGGTGTTTATTTAGCCTCTAATTGATATCCTGTTATAAATCTGTACACTAACGTTAGATGAGGTGAAATAAACCATGCATACGAGTCGATATTCTATTGATTTGTGCTTATTGGCGAAAGAGCAACTTCAGATTAAATGTAAAAATAATTTCCCAAACGATAACAACAATTGCAATTAAAATTGTGCAAAATAATATATCTTTTTTTTTATCATTTTAACCATTACACAGTAAGATGTAAATATGACAAAAATGTGTAAGTTTCCACTGACTAAAACGTTGACTAAATATGATAAAAACTAAAAGTTACATTTGACACATGACTAAGACTAAGACTAAATAAAAAATAGCTGACAAAATTAACACTACAAATAAGATCTTATTAATTCAACATTTATTAATGCATTTTTTAAAATCAAAACATTCGTTACGATTATTAATTATTTTGTTATTAACTAGTATTAATAAAGATCGCTAAATTTTATTGCAATTTACTGCCATATCAGCTTCACCGGTTATGCCAGTTTAAATATTTAACAATATAATAATTAAAAAAAAAAACATTTTTAAAAATTCAATTTAGACAGAAAAGACAAGATTGTTTAAATGTACCTGAGAAAAAAAATTTGTAAAATATTTTCTGGGTCAATCTTACAAAATACGTTCTCAAAATAGGTCCAGATAAGAATCACTGTCTCATAACATTAGCTAATGCATAAATTCATGTTAACAGACTCCGTTACACATCACCTGCAGTTCTCTGGACAGAAGGACGCTGCTCATGTCCAGCGGGTTTGGATTAAAGCCGTTCCCCTGAAAGCACACGATAACAAACGCTGCGTCACGTCTGTGAATGTGTCCTGCATTATCGGGCTGACCTCACTGTCTAGGATCTTATTCGAGGCCGCTGGACTCTTAAAGGGATAGTTCACCCAAAAATGAAAATTAGCCCATGATTTACTCTCCCTTGAGCCATCCTAGCTGTATATGACTTTATTCTTTCAGACAAATACAATCGGAGTTATATTAAAAAACGTCCTGGCTCTTCCAAGCTTTATAATGGCAGTGAATGGGTATTATTTTACAATAGTCCAAAAGAAGTCCAATAAAGTACATCCATCCATATTTAAAACTTTATAAACCGTAATATCTAGCTTCCGCTAACTGTCGTACGCACGTTCATTCCGGCGGATGACGTTTGTTAACAGGAGCAAAGGAAACAAAGTTTCCTTACTTTAGCAAAGGAAAACCAGTCTCCTCTTGGCTTATATCGAAATCCTCTGACATTCTTCTTTACAAATCCTTGTTTTGTGCTTCTAATCCGTGACCGGTGTTTTGTTTTGCTCTCTCACTTCTCACCGAAGCTTACGCTACGCCTACATCATCCGCCGGAATGAACGCGCGAATGACAGTTAGCGAAAGCTAGAGATTACGGTTTATAAAATTTTAAATATGGATATTTTTCTTACACAAACGCATCGATTCACTACAGGAGGCCTTTATTCACCCCCCGGAGCTGTGTGAGGCACTTTTTATGATGGATGGATGCGTTTTATTGGACTATTGAAAAATAACACCCATTCACTGCCATTATAAATCTTGGAAGAGCCAGGACATTTTTTTATATAACTCTGATTGTATTCGTCTGAAAGAAGACAGTCATATACACCTAGGATGCATTATTTGAGATATCCAGTCTTTAGACTTGTTCTGTGTGCAGTAAAAGAACACGCAATTATCTTTATAATATTTCATTTTAATGCACACCTCTGCTTTTAGACATAATCACTTTGTTCCTAGTGTACTGCTTATTTAGGCAGTACAAGATAGCTGCTTACACACTGCTTAAACTGCATTTAAAAAAAAACAAACTTCTTTATAATTATGCTCTTTTGGGTCAAATTCAAATGTAGCCTGCAGAAGCAAATCCCAGAATGCACTGCAGCAAGCTCTGTTCAAGAGAGTGGACACAGCTGGAGTGAGAGTTGTTAAGATGTTGATTATATAACTTACTTTATGTGCTGTATTGTGCTAATTCACACTGCAACAGAAGTCGACCAACGGTGATAATAACACAATTAACCCCACATAGTGTCTGTTGTCATTGGTCAGTTTCTGGCAGTGCAGTGTGAAGTAGCTTAAGTGTATCACATTGTTAGCTTAGCAATATACTAACATAAAAGTCATACGCCTGTGCTGCCGGTTGTTAAAGGGTTAGTTCACCCAAAAATGAAAATTAGCCCATGATTTACTCTCCCTTGAGCCATCCTAGCTGTATATGACTTTATTCTTTCAGACAAATACAATCGGAGTTATATTAAAAAACGTCCTGGCTCTTCCAAGCTTTATAATGGCAGTGAATGGGTATTATTTTACAATAGTCCAAAAGAAGTCCAATAAAGTACATCCATCCATATTTAAAACTTTATAAACCGTAATATCTAGCTTCCGCTAACTGTCGTACGCACGTTCATTCCGGCGGATGACGTTTGTTAACAGGAGCAAAGGAAACAAAGTTTCCTTACTTTAGCAAAGGAAAACCAGTCTCCTCTTGGCTTATATCGAAATCCTCTGACATTCTTCTTTACAAATCCTTGTTTTGTGCTTCTAATCCGTGACCGGTGTTTTGTTTTGCTCTCTCACTTCTCACCGAAGCTTACGCTACGCCTACATCATCCGCCGGAATGAACGCGCGAATGACAGTTAGCGAAAGCTAGAGATTACGGTTTATAAAATTTTAAATATGGATATTTTTCTTACACAAACGCATCGATTCACTACAGGAGGCCTTTATTCACCCCCCGGAGCTGTGTGAGGCACTTTTTATGATGGATGGATGCGTTTTATTGGACTATTGAAAAATAACACCCATTCACTGCCATTATAAATCTTGGAAGAGCCAGGACATTTTTTTATATAACTCTGATTGTATTCGTCTGAAAGAAGAAAGTCATATACACCTAGCATGGCTTGAGGGTGAGTAAATCATGGGCTAATTTTCACTTTTGAGTGAACTATCCCTTTAATGATGATATCACTGCATTTACAAAGTTAACAAACATTATAGGTCATTATATGGAGCTGCCAATCCAGTATAAAGTCACTGTGAGTACCTGAGAGGCCTGTGAGACGCTGCGCATCTTCTCCATCTCTCTCTGCTGAAACAGGCTCTCTCCTTCTCTGGTGCGGTCGATGCTCCAGCCCATCGCTAACATGCTCTTCAAGGACTCGCGCACCGTCCAGCGATACATCTCCTTCTCCTGCTGACAGAAAGCGTGCTGGCAGTCGTTATGATGGGATTAAGATCGGCCGGCCGATTAATCGGCCGATTTTTGGCATTTTTTAATTAATCGGCATCTGCCGATTGTGCTGCAAATTAGGCCGATTTATAGGCAGGCGCATCTGCGGGCAGCTAAGCGTTGTTGCGGAATGCCGGAGAATCTCTCTCTGGCTGCGTGAGAGACGGAGCAACTCACACTCTGCAGCCGCTTCTTGTTCACACACAGCTTCAGCTAATGATGGCAGGGCAAAACGGACTGTTTCGAAAGCGTAATTACGTTTTACCCTACTAGAATTGATGCCGGATTGATGAAAGTTATCATATTCATAAGTGCAACAAGTCATTTGCATGTGAAAGTAGAAACACATGCAATTCAGATGAAACTTCTGGGCTCGGCCAAACATATCAGACAAAAAAAATCGGCATCATATATCGGCCATCGGCTGCCCTGATTTCTAAATATCGGCATCGGCCAGTAAAAAAAAAAAAACTTATCGGTCGACTCTAGATTAAGATGGAGATTTTAAGAGTAAATGCGTGTTTGTGTTGTACCTTCTCCATCAGGGACTTGTAGGATCTCAGCATTGGGTGAGTTTTTGCTTTCTCGTCGATGTTTTCTCCGTGTTTCCAGCCCAGAAGCACCTGAACACAGACGGGAGCAACCAAACAACCAAAACATCAGCTTGATGCCCCTGGCGAGAATCTCACGTGTTTAATGAACATTTCACTGCTTGAATCCAGCAGCTGACGGAAGCGGAGACGCGGCTGTGTTTCTCTCACCTTCTCAGCAGCCCATTTCTCATGGGAATGTTCAGCGTATTTGTTTGCGATGTACTCCAGCTTCTCCGGCAGGCAGATGCTGAGAGGAAAACAGAAGCGTCGATCAATTCATCTCAGACTGTCACGTGATGAGGAGACGGCCAAAAATATCATCATACAATATCGATATTTATCATGATATTCATTAATAGTGAAATAAGCTTGAGAGTGAATGTGAATATTACACTCCTTTTAATTTAGGGTCACATGAAATCCATTTTTATTTTCCCCTAAATTCAGTGGTTTCCGGTGCTTGATTCTGATTGAATGTGAATATTACACTCCTTTTAATTTAGGGTCACATGAAATCCAAATTCTGTGGTTTCCGGTTCTTGATTCTGATTGGTAAAATTCACTGTAAACCACGGCTTCTTGGGGCTTATTGCTTTAATCAGTGTCAGGTGTAATGCATTACTAAATAATGAATAACTAATTTAATTACTTTTCCCCTGAAAAAGTAAAGTAAGGGATTATTTTTCTGTTAATTACAGTTACTTCTCATTTAATTGCTTTAAATACTGTATAGACTATAAAACAATTCTATATCAAACAATAGTGGATTTAACATCTAATGTTAAAATGTATCCTTCTCCCTTTAAATACTTTTGTCAGTTCAAGAATAATTTATGCAATTTGATATTATTTATTTGAAAGAATTAAAAGCAGTTTCATGTTTTTCCTTGTATTGCTCGACTTCGAGTAATTAGTAAGTAATGCAATACTTTTTATAGAGAGTAATTACTACAGTAATCTAATTACACTGTTAAAGATGGAATTAGTAACTAGTAATGAATTACTTTTTCAGAGTAACTTACCCCAGTGTTTCCTAACCACATTCTATCTCTATTATATTTTGTTGTTTTTATTGTTTTAAATCAATGCTATTGGTAATCTTTATGTCTGTTTGTGGGTTTTATAAATATTTAACCAATGAAAAGTTTCAAAAGAACTTGTGACTAAACCGTGTAACTCCACTGGATCCTCAAACTGTCAGCGAAACCTCGTAACTCTGAGCGCCCATAAAGCTACAAAAAACTTTATAACCTGTAAGTTGATGAAAATGTAATGCTTTTCTTTTTCACTTGCTTCAGACGCGGCCGTTAATGACGGACAAAACACAGATCTTCGTCATTCGTTGGTCAAAAACCTCGTAACTCCATTTGAGCTTGATTTTCATAAAATATTAATATTGTAATGGCACATGCAAGTGTCAGATCATATATAAAGCCACAATACCAACTCTGACGACGCTGTTTAATTATTATTAAAAAAAGTTGAATTATTATTTTTTGAAAGTGGTAGCGCTTTTGCAAATAGATGTTTTCTGCCCGACAACGACGATACGTAAATTTGTTGTTTTATCATCACCAACAACATAAGGCTACCTGTGACCTTGTGTTCCTGCCTGACTGAAGCTCAAGTTTCACATTAAATGTGAGTACTACTTTTAATAAAATAAACCTCGTAACTCCATTTGAGCTTGATTTTCATAAAATATTAATATTGTAATGGCACATGCAAGTGTCAGATCATATATAAAGCCACAATACCAACTCTGACGACGCTGTTTAATTATTATTAAAAAAAGTTTAATTATTATTTTTTGAAAGCGGTAGCGCGTTTGCAAATAGAAGTTTTCAGCCCGACAGCGACGATACGTAAATTTGTTTTATCATCACCAACAACATAAGGCTACCTGTGACCTTCTGTTCATACCTGACTTAAGCTCAAGTTTCACATTAAATGTGAGTACTACTTTTAATAAAATATGCCATTTAAAGCAATTTTGCTATATTTCAGTGCTTAGTGGTGTGAAAAACTGTGGTTAAAAAAAGGTTGGGAAACACTGACTTACCTAACACTAGATTTCATAAAAATGGTGTCTAATGAAATTAATGAATACAATTTTAACAATTGTATCAATCTTTCAAAATGTAACAAAATATCGCATTTATATTTTTTGTCAAATAAGATGCTGCACAACAAAACTGTTTAAATTAAACCAAGTTTAAAAAAATATCCTGGCTCAATGACGTTCTTTAAAATATTATATATAAAATATCCAGAGCTATCAACGTAAATGTAATCACGACGAGTTTTTCTGCAGATTTTGTTCTGTCTGACGTACGTGGCTGTGTTTATGGGTCTGGGGTCGAAGTTTCCCTGCGTGTCGACAGACACCTGCTTCTCCAGCGTGGTGCTGAGTGTGAAGTCGATGTAATCCGGCGGTAGAGCTCCAGAGATGGCACTCAGACACGGCATGGCCATCTTAAACAGATCCTGCTCGTACTTCTGCAAACACAGTCATTCAGAAGACGGAAGATGAGCGCTTAATGCGCTTGGGGTCGGTAAGATTTCTCTTCACGGTTACTTTAGATTCATTTAATCCACCCTTGATGAATAACAGCATTACTTTATTTTTTTAAAATCCTATTGACGCCAAGCTTATGAATGGTAGTGTACAGCCACATCTGCCCAAATCTCTTCACCTTCTGAGACAGAGAGTCAAAGATTCCCCAGAAGATCTTCTTGGTGAGCAGCAGCTCCTCCTCAGACGCCTGACCGTAACTCCCCCATCCAGCCGGCAGACAGTAATACTTCCAGTTCTGCTCGTAATGATTCGTCAACAGCTGTGAAACACGATCAAGTGGCATTCAGTGAGAGTTCTCATAAAAAAACACTTCATCTGTGTGTCATCACAGAAACATCCTCTTTAAAACACTCATTAAAACAATTTAAATATGAATCACACGCCAGTGCAGCTTTGTGTTTACTATAAGCTCGCAGCAGCTTTGATAAAGAAGCATGAAATATTTTGATTGGCTTGCAATGTTTTTGTCGTACATCAGCTGGAAAAGATCGCTCTGAATGGGACTGCAATAATATCGTTCCTCTGTGACGTTATTGCTATAGTTGTGCCGTGGACTTCGTTGCCGTTATCGTTACAGTTATCGTTCTTGGGGCCTTAAATTCATTCAAGTGCAGTTAAGCGGCTGACAGGGTGATCAGGAGCTCATTACTGTATGATAACGAGCAGCTGTTCTCACTTGCAGATGGCCAGCAGACACTCCTCGATGGCGTCGCGCTGGGCTTTGGTGAGCGAACAGCCCTTGGACAGGCGGTAGACGGTGTAGAGCGTGGAGTCGATGAGCGCGGCGTGATGCTCTGTGCCGGAGAAGTGAGGAGCGCAGCGGGTCAGCAGAGGCAGCACCGCCGAACCGATGTACCTGTTCATAGCCAGAGCCGTTTCTGTGGTGCGCAAAGCCTCCTGGGAACAAACACAACACCTCAGAGATGATTCATATGAATAAAAAGGACTCAAACGGTAAATGACTCATCTGAAACGCTGCAGGAGGTTTTCGTGATCACATCTGAAGTGTCGCTGTGTTTTGAGTTTTGAGTGATTTTTAGTCAGTTCACAGTGGTGTAGAGAATCAAATTCACTAACCACACAAACACTGACTTTCTTCGTCTTTAACGTTGAATCCTTTGATTTAGCAGTTAAAACCATGCATCAATAAGGGTAAAGCTGCAGAAGACACTTTCATCCAAAGTGACTTAAAAAAAGAGTTTACAGTCTAAACAAAACAAAAAATAAGTCAAAACAAGCCAAAACAATAAAACAACACAAAACAACTAAAAAAATAAAATGAAACAAACCAAAACAAAAAGCAAAAAAACACACCAAGACAAAATAAAACAAACCAAACCAAAATAAAAACAACCAAACAAAACATAAAAAAACAAACCAAAACAATGAAACAAAACAAAACAAAACAAACCAAAGCAAAGTAAAGCAATGCCAAACAAAGCAAAGCAAAACAAAAAAAACAAAACAAACCAAAGCAAAGTAAAGCAATGCAAAATAAAGCAAAGCAAAGCAAAACAAAACACAAAACAAAAATCAAAACAAAACAACACAACAGTAAAAACATTGTATTACAGAGTAATGGGAATTAAAAAAAAAAAAGTCTGGATCAGAATGGGATTTTTATGGACTACCATAATGGGAATGGGGAAAATGTTACAATGCATTTTTTTACATTTAAAATGTACTAAATATAATGATAAATCTAAAATAAGCTTAATTATAATTTCATTTATTTATTTATTTTATTTTGGGTTAATATGTGAGATGCAGGCAGGTTTTATGACAATCATGTATCTCATGTTTCCAGGCAAAGAAAGAAAGCATACTTCAAAAAAGGTTTCACACAAACAAAAGTGAACATTGTGTAAGACGCGAGCTGGCAGCGATAAAAACTTATTCACCGCTTATCTTCAACATAACGGAGAAAAACGGGCATCAACAGAGCCTGAAGGCAAGAGCTTCTCGTGCTTTACGTGGCATCAAGAGGAGGCATAAGTACAGACTGCCTTTGCATGAAGAAAGAACTATAAACACTTCAATTCTTTTGCCTCACTTGTTTGGACTAAAGCTGGAGGGCGATCCTTTAATTATCTCCTGTTTCATGAAGTTAGGTGAAGAAATGCAGGTTTGATTAAAAACGCACAAAAACCATATGATTTTTAGTAAAAAAGTAAGCATGACTGTCAGTCGGTCGTACAAACCAAATCATACGAGTTCAGCAACACATAAAATAGTCACGAATTTTCATGAGATTGCAGTACGAAATAGCTCTTCGCTATCAATCAGCTCAATCATTTCTGCAGAAACAGCCGAGCTCTAGCGCCTTGAACTGCAAGTTGTAACAAAGATATCCAGAGAGATGTTGAAGCAGAAAGAGGGGGGTTGTGTGACGCTGGAAAGAGATACGTGTGCCCTAATAGTGGGGGCAAAGGAACAGCTGCAACAATCCAACGAAGAAGAGTCTCTCTCGGTACAAAATATGCACTTCCTGAGTCTCAACAAACTTCAAACTTCCAAAGAGAAAAAGAAAGGATCCTATAGACATCCGTGCCGTTAGCAGGAAGAGATGCAGCACGTTTATTGACGGAGGTGGGACTGGATGTGATCATTACTGACAGGCCGCTTTGGCTTCTCCTGACTGTTTAATTGCAGGGCGGTGTGAAGCTCGCGTCTGCTGCTTTGTTGGTGGCGGAGGTGTCCGCTGAATGTGTGGCAAGCCCTGGCACGTTTTCTTATGGCTTTCACACCAAGAGTTTCGGGCAAGAGAAGGAAGGGAACGTAAGAGAGAAGAGCTGCAGTCGGATTGTCCCAGTAAAGCCCAACGCCATTTGAAATGAGCCTCACAATTAACACACCATCAAAGCATCGACGTGAATCTGTAAAGTTACGAAACTGCATTTTTAAGTATGACCCCATATAAATGGGGTTTGCTTGATATAATCTGATAAAAGAGCATGGGAATTCCCATACAGAGGATGTATTTACACTACCAGTCAAAATATGAATTTAATATTTCGTATGTTTTTGCTGCAGATTAAAAACAGCATAACAGTCTAAAAGAACTGTTTCCTATTTGAATAGAAATGGCAAAACTAACTTAAACTATAACAATAATTACAGTGATAACTATAACAAAACTATGACAATTATAACGATACATTAGCGTCCACACAAGCGGATCATAATGTTGTGTTTACTATAAGCTCGCAGCAGCTTTGATAAAGAAGCATGAAATATTTTGATTGGCTTGCAATGTTTTTGTCGTACATCAGCTGGAAAAGATCGCTCTGAATGGGACTGCAATAATATCGTTCCTCTGTGACGTTATTGCTATAGTTGTGCCGTGGACTTCGTTGCCGTTATCGTTACAGTTATCGTTCTTGGGGCCTTAAATTCATTCAAGTGCAGTTAAGCGGCTGACAGGGTGATCAGGAGCTCATTACTGTATGATAACGAGCAGCTGTTCTCACTTGCAGATGGCCAGCAGACACTCCTCAATGGCGTCGCGCTGGGCTTTGGTGAGCGAACAGCCCTTGGACAGGCGGTAGACGGTGTAGAGCGTGGAGTCGATGAGCGCGGCGTGATGCTCTGTGCCGGAGAAGTGAGGAGCGCAGCGGGTCAGCAGAGGCAGCACCGCCGAACCGATGTACCTGTTCATAGCCAGAGCCGTTTCTGTGGTGCGCAAAGCCTCCTGGGAACGAACACAACACCTCAGAGATGATTCATATGAATCAAAAGGACTCAAACGGTAAATGACTCATCTGAAACGCTGCAGGAGGTTTTCGCTGAAGTGTCTGAAGTGTCGCTGTGTTTTGAGTTTTGAGTGATTTTTAGTCAGTTCACAGTGGTGTAGAGCACTAACCACACTAACCACACAAACACTGACTTTCTTCGTCTTTAACGTTGAATCCTTTGATTTAGCAGTTAAAACCATGCATCAATAAGGGTAAAGCTGCAGAAGATACTTTCATCCAAAGCGACTTAAAAAAGAGTTTACAGTCTAAAACAAAACAAAAAATAAGTCAAAACAAGCCAAAACAATAAAACAACACAAAACAACGAAAAAAATAAAATGAAACAAACCAAAACAAAAAGCAAAAAAACACACCAAGACAAAATAAAACAAACCAAACCAAAATAAAAACAACCAAACAAAACATAAAAAAACAAACCAAAACAATGAAACAAAATAAAACAAAACAAACCAAAGCAACGAAGCAAAACAAAACAAAACAAAAACTTGAACTGAATTGATCTGAATAATGACTGTCTTCTGTAGAGCTGCTTTACAGCAGAAACTGAACTCATAGTTTCATAATTGATTAATTTTACAACATAAACAGTTATTTTCCTGTTTATTCTGTGAAGCTGCTTTGAAACAAGCAGGAGCTCATTACTGTATGATAACGAGCAGCTGTTCTCACTTGCAGATGGCCAGCAGACACTCCTCAATGGCGTCGCGCTGGGCTTTGGTGAGCGAACAGCCCTTGGACAGGCGGTAGACGGTGTAGAGCGTGGAGTCGATGAGCGCGGCGTGATGCTCTGTGCCGGAGAAGTGAGGAGCGCAGCGGGTCAGCAGAGGCAGCACCGCCGAACCGATGTACCTGTTCATAGCCAGAGCCGTTTCTGTGGTGCGCAAAGCCTCCTGGGAACGAACACAACACCTCAGAGATGATTCATATGAATCAAAAGGACTCAAACGGTAAATGACTCATCTGAAACGCTGCAGGAGGTTTTCGTTATCACATCTGAAGTGTCGCTGTGTTTTGAGTTTTGAGTGATTTTTAGTCATTCACAGCAGTGTAGAGAATCAAATTCACTAACCACACAAACACTGACTTTCTTCGTCTTTAACGTTGAATCCTTTGATTTAGCAGTTAAAACCATGCATCAATAAGGGTAAAGCTGCAGAAGATACTTTCATCCAAAGCGACTTAAAAAAGAGTTTACAGTCTAAAACAAAACAAAAAATAAGTCAAAACAAGCCAAAACAATAAAACAACACAAAACAACTAAAAAAATTAAATGAAACAAACCAAAACAAAAAGCAAACACACCAAGACAAAATAAAACAAACCAAACCAAAATAAAAACAACCAAACAAAACATAAAAAAACAAACCAAAACAATGAAACAAAATAAAACAAAACAAACCAAAGCAACGAAGCAAAACAAAACAAAACAAAAACTTGAACTGAATTGATCTGAATAATGACTGTCTTCTGTAGAGCTGCTTTACAGCAGAAACTGAACTCATAGTTTCATAATTGATTAATTTTACAACATAAACAGTTATTTTCCTGTTTATTCTGTGAAGCTGCTTTGAAACAAGATGTAGCAAGATATTTCACAGTGGTGTAGAGAATCAAATTCACTAACCACACAAACACTGACTTTCTTCGTCTTTAACGTTGAATCCTTTGATTTAGCAGTTAAAACCATGCATCAATAAGGGTAAAGCTGCAGAAGATACTTTCATCCAAAGCGACTTAAAAAAGAGTTTACAGTCTAAAACAAAACAAAAAATAAGTCAAAACAAGCCAAAACAATAAAACAACACAAAACAACGAAAAAAATAAAATGAAACAAACCAAAACAAAAAGCAAAAAAACACACCAAGACAAAATAAAACAAACCAAACCAAAATAAAAACAACCAAACAAAACATAAAAAAACAAACCAAAACAATGAAACAAAATAAAACAAAACAAACCAAAGCAACGAAGCAAAACAAAACAAAACAAAAACTTGAACTGAATTGATCTGAATAATGACTGTCTTCTGTAGAGCTGCTTTACAGCAGAAACTGAACTCATAGTTTCATAATTGATGAATTTTACAACATAAACAGTTATTTTCCTGTTTATTTCTGTGAAGCTGCTTTGAAACAAGATGTAACAATATATAAATATATTACTGTTGTAAATCACAATTGTCCTGTAAAATTAAAAATTAATGCTTGATAATTATAGGCCTAAATTATTTTATTTTATACTGCAAGTTACAATACTAATATTTATGTTTTAAATTCTTCAAAATCTGAATACTGGAATACTGGTGAAATGCCGTAAACTTCTATCCACAGAAATGTTGGAAATTGAGCGAAAACAAGATGTAGCAAGATATAAATATATTACTGTTGTAAATCACAATTGTCTTGTAAAATAAAAAATGAATGCTTGATAATTACAGGCCTAAATTATTTTATTTTATACTGCAAGTTACAATACTAATATTTATGTTTTCAATAATTCATAATATTCAAGTTTATATTTGGGTGTAATACTGGTTAAATGCTGTAAACTTGCATCTACAGAAATGTTGGAAATTGTGCAAACCTGTTCCCAAAATGCATATTATTAAATATATGAAGTCTGCCAGATATTTCTTGAATATTTAATTAATAAACTCAATAATTTAACAACATATTGCTCACATGACAAGTAAACAAAATATTTAATCTTTTTTTTTTTGTAAGAGTTTTTATTTTAATATTATGTATATAGAAAGATGCACGTATATAGTGCTTATTATTATTTTAACTAATTATAAAAATGGAGATATAAATATACTACTGTTGTGAATTAATAATTATAATTACGTAATTTAATAATAATTACTATTTCACACTGCAAGTTACAATACAAATTTTTATGTTTTAAATTCTTCAAAATCTGAATACTGGAATACTGGTGAAATGCCGTAAACTTCTATCCACAGAAATGTTGGAAATTGAGCGATTGTGTAAATAAACTGAACATTGCGCACTTGCGTTCCTAAAATGCACGTTAAACTGCACATATTTACAAGGCGATCTGACGCTGAAAACACTGTAAACATGCAGAGCAACAGATGACATCCAGATTTAAACCGCAGAATTTGATTTGCTATTCACTGCACAGCAACACTGATTTACTTCACTTTTACATTAAACTAGACAAGTAAAGTTTGTGAACAAACTTTGAAGTTGGCTTGAGAAAGCCTATTTGAAGTGGTTTAAAACCTTGTAGTTTGAAGGTGTTCAGATGAAGTCTGAAGTTTGAATAAAGAATATTAGAGATTGATAGATAGAAATTATAAAATGATCGATAGATAGATAGATAGATAGATGCTAGGGGTCTCAGGGTGGTTTCTAGGGTGTTGCTATGCGGTTGCTAGGGTACTCAGGGCGATTGCTAGGGTGTTGCTATGCGGTTGCAAGGGTAGTTGCTAGGGTACTTGAGGTGGTTGCTAGGGCGGTTGCTAGGGTACCCGGGGTGGTTGCTAGGGTGCTGCTATGCGGTTGCTAGGGTACTCAGGGCGATTGCTAGGGTGTTGCTATGCGGTTGCTAGGGTACTTGGGCTGGTTGCTAGGTTGTTGCTATAGTGTTCTGGGAGGTTGCTATGTGATAGATAGATAGGGTTCTCAGGGTGGTTGCTAGGGTGTTGCTATGCAGTTGCTAGGGTACTTGGGGTGGTTGCTAGGGCGGTTGCTAGGGCGGTTGTTAGGATACCCAGGGTGGTTGCTAGGTTGCTAGGGTACTTGAGGTGGTTGCTTGGGCGGTTGCTAGGGTACCCGGGGTGGTTGCTATGGTGCTGCTATGCGGTTGCTAGGGTACTCAGGGCAATTGCTAGGGTGTTGTTATGCGGTTGCTAGGGCGGTTGTTAGGGTACCCAGGGTGGTTGCTAGGGTGCTGCTATGCGGTTGCTAGAGTACTCGGGTTGGTTGCTAAGGTGTTGCTATGCGGTTGCTAGGGTACTTGGGCTGGTTGCTAGGTTGTTGCTATGGTGTTCTGGGAGGTTGCTATGTGATAGATAGATAGATAGATAGATAGATAGATAGATAGGGTTCTCAGGGTGGTTGCTAGGGTGTTGCTATGCAGTTGCTAGGGTACTTGGGGTGGTTGCTAGGGCGGTTGCTAGGGTACTTGGGGTGGTTGCTAAGGCGGTTGCTAGGGTACCCGGGGTGGTTGCTAGGGTGCTGCTATGCGGTTGCTAGGGTACCCGGGGTATGCGGTTGCTAGGGCGGTTGTTAGGATACCCAGGGTGGTTGCTAGGGTGCTGCTATGCGGTTGCTAGAGTACTCGGGTTGGTTGCTAAGGTGTTGCTATGCGGTTGCTAGGGTACTTGGGCTGGTTGCTAGGTTGTTGCTATAGTGTTCTGGGAGGTTGCTATGTGATAGATAGATAGGGTTCTCAGGGTGGTTGCTAGGGTGTTGCTATGTGGTTGCTAGGGTACTTGGGGTGGTTGCTAGGGCGATTGTTAGGGTACCCAGGTCCCCTCTCAAAGCACTGACCGTGTCCAGCGAGGCGGCGGCTCTCAGGTCCGGCAGGAAGCCCACCTCTAACAGATGCAGCAGGAAGCTCTGGTCCTCGATGCCGTACACGCGCTCCAGGAACAGCACCATGGGGGCCTTGTGGTCCGGGCAGAAAGTGGCTGACATGTCAGGCTCAAACACGCTGCCGTCTGACGGACACACACACACACACATAGGGTGCTGCTATGCGGTTGCTAGGGTACTCGGGGTGGTTGCTAGGGTGTTGCTATGTGGTTGCTAGGGTACTTGGGGTGGTTGCTAGGGCGATTGTTAGGGTACCCAGGTCCCCTCTCAAAGCACTGACCGTGTCCAGCGAGGCGGCGGCTCTCAGGTCCGGCAGGAAGCCCACCTCTAACAGATGCAGCAGGAAGCTCTGGTCCTCGATGCCGTACACGCGCTCCAGGAACAGCACCATGGGGGCCTTGTGGTCCGGGCAGAAAGTGGCTGACATGTCAGGCTCAAACACGCTGCCGTCTGACGGACACACACACACACACACACACACACACATCATTTCTTAGCACAAACTGATGTGCCATTAATTTGCTATTAATTAGATCGATTAAACTGCATGCATCATGTAATTACTCAGATAAAACATTTCAATCCCTTCGTGTTTTTTCACTTTAAAATGAAACATCATCATGCTGCTGAATATACAGCAGAACTTGCAGAAGGATGAATTATGATGAAGCTTTTAAAAATGTGAGAATTAGGAGAGTGTTTGGCACCTTTATTGACGACGGGCATCTTGAGAGGGATGCTGATGATGCCGACCAGATCCTCCGTGGGAACGAGAGAGCGAAGGATGGCACGAATCCTCAGAGCTTCACCTTTACCCTTATTGATCAGCTGAGAGAACAGATCAATCAATCAGAGTATCAGCTCACATCACGATCAATCAACATCCATGCACGGCTGCGTGATTTTTATAATTTTCTGAGATTAAGTTGAATGTAATGTTTTGTTTTATTTTAAAAAATCATGGAATCACAGTTTTGATAATACACCACAGACGCATTGAGTCGTCTTGACCTCTAAAACTGAATGTCTACAATTTGGGTAAGAAATATTATGCATTTTTTTCTTATTTTATATTATTTATGAACATAAAGGATATGTTTAAGACAAGCTTGGGCAATATTTGCCTTCATATTTCATGCATCTTTTCTGCAAATATATTTAGCAAGTCATCTTTAAAAAAGTAAAATTAAAATAAACAAATAATTATTTAAAATAACAAATGAAAATAAAATAATAATAATAGAAATTAAATAAATGTAAGAAATGTCAAATTAAAATAATAAATTTAAAAATAAAAATAATAAAAATAAAAACAACACAATGAAATAAAATGAAATTAAAATATAAATAATTCAAATAATCAAAACAAAACACTAAGATTAAATCATAAAATGCAACATTAAATAAATAATACAAAAAAACACTTAAATTAAAATTAAATGATAAAAATATCAAATTAAAATAATACATTTTAAAATAAAAATAATTAAAATAAAACACTTACCAAAATAAAATTAAAATACATATAAATAAATGAATCAATCAAAACAAAACACTTAAAATAAAAATAAAAACAACACAATGAAATAAAATGAAATTAAAATATAAATAATTCAAATAATCAAAACAAAACACTAAGATTAAATCATAAAATGCAACATTAAATAAATAATACAAAAAAACACTTATTAAAATTAAATGATAAAAATATCAAATTAAAATAATACATTTTAAAATAAAAATAATTAAAATAAAACACTTACCAAAATAAAATTAAAATACATATAAATAAATGAATCAATCAAAACAAAACACTTAAAGATTAAATCATAAAATGTAAAATTAAATAAATAATAAGCAAAACACTTAAAATAAAAAACAATTCAAAATTAAATTATAAAAATGTCAAATTAATTATTTTAAAATAAAATATAAAACATAAGTAAATAAAAATAAATGTAAAATGAAAACTAACAATTTATAATCACAAAAATTAAATACTACAAATAAATATCCATAAAAATGTAAAACAAAAATGTATAAATAATGTAAAAATAAAAGCAATCAAAATAAAACACTAAAAATAAATATCCATCAAAATGTAAAACAAAAATTAACAAATACTTTTAAAATAAAAGCAATCAAAATAAAACACTAAAAATGAATGAACATTTGTTAAACTTGAGCACAACATTTTTAGACGCCATTTCAAGCGCGAGACGCTACAAAAGATGCAAGATTCGAGCGCAAAGGTCAAACACGTCCGTCAAGCACAATATTTAAGAGAATGTTCATGTTACTCTAGTTAAGTTTTTAAATTGAGCAGTTAAACGTTAAAATATAAATCTTGAATCGATCAAACGTTCTGAAAGAGATGATCCACACAGACTCACGTGCATCTCGGGAGCGCAGCGGCCCAGCAGATCGATCAGAGCCGAGTAGAAGGACAGGATGGCGTTTCCCATGTGAACCACTTCCTCTTCCTCCTCGCCCTCAGTGGAGCTGCAGCAGAGACAGATGAAAAGACGACAAACATCCAGCACTCAGAATTACACTGGAGTATCGCATAAAAAATCTGCATGAACTGTTTCCACCCCGTGTGTTTAGAACAACAAAATCAGCACGACATGGGAAATTAAATCAATTAAAGCCACTCAATTAATATAAATAATAATTAACACATATCTTCAAATTAAAACAATTTTACAATAAAAACCAATTTGAAATAAAACACAGTAGTAATTAATTAAATCATAAAAATGTAAAATTAAAATTAAGAAATGTTATAATCAAAACAATTCAAATAAAACACATACTAATAATTAAATCATAAAAAGTTTAAACTAAAATTAATACATAAAAAAAAAAAAACGAATAATTAAAAAGTCAAATTAAATATTAAAATGAAAACAATCAACATAAAACACTTACTAATAATTAAATAATAAATGTCAAATTAAAATAAATAGTTTTAAAACAAAACCAAACTATAAAAAAAACACAAATTACAAATCACAAAAATGTCAAATTAAATAATTTTTAAATAAAAACAATCAAAATAAAACACTAAGAATTAACTGCATCATAAAAATCTTAAATTAAAATAAATACATTTTAAAACAATAACAACTATTAATGAACACAAATAATTAAATAATAAAAATAACAATATCTAATGACAAAATAAATACATTTTAAAATAAACAAAAATAATTAAAATAAAACACTCTCTCATTATCCTAATCACTCAATAAACTCCAAATGAACAGTGTGTGTGTCAGGGATTCCACACAGTCACAGTCATCACAGTCACAAGTCACGACTCTCACCAGATCACAATCACCCGATTACTAATCACCCGCACCTGCAGCCTGCAATCAGCACTGCTTCATAAGCACACTCCACTCAGACACTCATTGTCCGGTCTACCGTTCACATACCTGACTCTCCCTACTTACCTGCATGTGCTTACCTCCAGATACTCCAGCGTTCCTTCGATCCTGTCCTCCTCTGTTCCAGCCATCACCAGACAAGCCTGCTAAAGACCCAGCATCAGCGTTCTCAGCTAAGAACCCAAGAACTGTCTATAGTGTTTCTGCTCACCTGTTCTCAGCCACAACTCAACCATCAATAACTGTCAATAAACTTACCTGTGTGTTCACTTACCTCTTGTCTCCGGCCTGTGTTGTGACAGAAGACCAGACCAACAACATTTACCTCCATGGATTCCCGGCACCCAGCACCCGCTGATGTCCTGAAGGAGCTAGTCACTGCCCTCCGGACTTCACTCACACCCGTCACCGCTTCGCCCGCTGCCTCTGTGAGTCCCATGGCCTTGCCTGCTTGCTTCGCAGGTGACGCGGCTGAGTGTGGCGGCATCCTGCTACAAGTGGCTCTCTTCATCGAGATGCAACCGCAAAAATTCTCCACCGAACGCTCCAAGGTAGCCTTTCTCATTTCTCTGCTTACCGGCAAGGCTTTGTTGTGGGCCCAAGCTATATGGAACGCCAATAGTACCATAATCAACTCGTTTGATGCTTTCACTAACCATTTCAAGGAGGTGTTTAGTTCCGCTACCGGAGCGTTGTCGGTGTCGGATCAACTGCTGCGGCTGCGACAGGGCGCCTCCACCACCAGTAACTACACTGTGCATTTCTGCACTCTAGTGGCTCCTAGCGGTTGGAATGAGGCGGCCCTCCTCAGTGCTTATCGTCAGGGATTGAACCCACACATCCGCGCTGCTATGTCTATCTACGATGATACTATTGGACTGGAAAGCTTTATGCAAAGAGCCACCCGCATTTCCCAACGCTTGTCAGCCTGCCAACCTACTGAAGCCGCTCACCAGCTTGCCTCACCCGCCGCAAGTTCCCCAGTACCAGAACCCATTCAATTGGACTCTACTAGTCTCACTCGCGTGGAACGCACACGCCGCATCACGGCCGGACTCTGCCTCTACTGTGCTGCAGCTGATCACTTTATCCAGAACTGTCCCATCAAACCCCCACGCCCTGCGGTGAGTACCCTTCAATTAGAGCCAGAAATTGCCACGTTATCTCTCATACCAGTACAACTACTCACCCCAGATCATTCTGTTGCAGTCTCTGCCCTCAACGACTCGGGCTCTTCGGGCAATTTCATATCGCAAGACCTCCTAAGCAGACTCCACCTACCCCTTAAGTGCTATGCCCGGGAGCTCCGAGTCGAAACCATCCAGGGAAAACTGCTGGGGCGTGGAAAGGTGAAATATAAAGCTCCCCCCTTGAGGTTACGCATTGGATGTCTGCACGAAGAGAGAGTCACGTTTCTAGTACTGGAGGGACCCACCGTAGACCTCATCCTGGGACACCCCTGGCTCACCCTCCACTCACCATATGTCAGACGGGAACCGTGTGAGATCACTCGCTGGAGCGAGTTCTGCCAACAAAATTGTCTCGCTGCAGTACCTAAGTCACGTTCTACCCCAATTCCAGCCCAAATTGCATCCACCCTCGTGGAGAGCCCCGAGACTTCCGAAGTGCACACCATCCCATCTGACTATGAGGCGTTCCAGGATGTCTTCAGCAAGCAGGCAGCCACCCGCCTATCACCTCACAATCCATGGGACTGTGCGATCGATCTGCTGCCTGGGGCCAAGATACCCAAGGTATACCCCCTCTGTCCATCCCGGAGCGCAAGGCTATGGAGGATTATGTTTTGGAGGCTCTTCGTCAAGGATTCATCCAACCCTCCACCTCACCAGCTGCCGCCAGCTTCTTCTTCGTGGGCAAGAAGGACGGGGGCTTGAGGCCTTGTATTGACTATCGTGCTCTGAATTCCCAGACAGTGAAGCTCCCATATTCCCTTCCCCTGGTCCCGGCCGCCCTGGGGGAACTCCGTGGAGCTCACATATTCACCAAGTTGGACCTGCGGAGCGCGTATAACCTCGTTCGCATCCGGGAGGGCGACGAGTGGAAGATGGCATTTATCACACCATCAGGCCACTATGAATACAAGGTGATGCCGTATGGCCTGTCCAACTCACCGTCGATCTTCCAGGGCTTTATGAAAGGTGTTACGGGAGATCCTCCATCGCTTTGTCATAGTGTACATCGACGACATCCTCATCTACTCCCGGAATCTGGCCGAACATCGCCACCATGTTAAGCAGGTCCTTCAACGGCTCCGACACCACCACCTCTACCTTAAGCTGGAGAAATGTGAGTTCCATTGCTCCACGGTGCAGTTCCTCGGGTACATCATCGGCCAAGATAACATCCAGATGAACCGAAAGGTGTTACGGGAGATCCTCCATCGCTTTGTCATAGTGTACATCGACGACATCCTCATCTACTCCCGGAATCTGGCCGAACATCGCCACCATGTTAAGCAGGTCCTTCAACGGCTCCGACAACACCACCTCTACCTTAAGCTGGAGAAATGTGAGTTCCATTGCTCCACGGTGCAGTTCCTCGGGTACATCATCGGCCAAGATAACATCCAGATGGACCAGTGGAAAGTTAAGGCCATACGGGAATGGCCCATCCTTCAGACGGTTAAAGACCTGCAACGTTTCCTGGGATTTGCCAACTTCTACCGCCAATTCATTAAGAACTACAGTATGCTCACTGCTCCGCTCACCTCACTCCTACGTGGAAAGCCCAAGTCCCTGTCCTGGACCTCCAGCACTCACAAAGCTTTTGAAAGACTCAAAGAAGCATTCAGCACGGCCCCCATCCTGCGCCATCTAGACCCGCAAGCACCCTTTGTGGTGGAGGTAGACGCTTCCACCACCGGAGTTGGGGCCGTGTTGTCCCAGCAGTCTGGTGAGCCTCCTAGCCTCCACCCTTGCGCGTATTACTCCAAAAAACTGTCCCCAGCGGAGGTAAACCACGACATTGGTAACCGGGAGCTATTGGCCATCAAGCTAGCTCTCGAGGAGTGGCGACACTGGCTGGAGGGAGCACAGCATCCATTCATGGTAATCACGGACCACAAAAACCTCCAATACCTGAGGGATGCTTCTGCTACACCAAATACACAAAATAATGATCTTTAAAGTAGCATCATATGACCCCTTTAACCCCCGTCAAGCCCGCTGGGCATTATCCTTCACACGTTTCAATTTCACCATCACCTATCGTCCCGGAAACCACAATTGTAAAGCGGATGCCTTATCACGCTTATACTCTCCGGAATCACCCTCAGAACCAGAACCCATCATCCCTCCAGCCCTCATTGTTAGTCCCATCCAGTGGGACAACTCCGAGAACATCCGTGTCGCCACTCTCCATGAACCGGCTCCGCTGGGAGGCCCAGAAGGGAAGATCTATGTTCCCACGTCTCAACGTCAACTCCTTCTGGGCTCAGTGCACAATCTTCTGGGCTCTGGACACCCAGGCAGCAGATGGACCTTCTCGCTCCTCCAAGCTCACTACTGGTGGCCCAGTATGACCCGGGATGTCATCGGGTACATCCGCAGCTGCTCAGTCTGTGCCATGTCGAAGACGCCCCGTCACCTCCCGGTAGGCAAGCTCGTGCCGCTGCCCATCCCTCGTCGGCCCTGGTCCCATCTTGGAATTGACTTTGTGACAGATCTCTGACGGCAACACCTGTGTCCTGGTTGCAGTAGATCGCTTCTCAAAGGCGTGCAAGTTCATTCCCCTCAAGGGACTCCCCACGGCCTTAGAAACTGCCGAATGCCTGTTTAACCATGTCTTCAGGAACTATGGTCTCCCGGTGGAGGTCGTCTCGGACCGGGGCCCCCCAATTTATCTCCCATGTGTGGAAGGCCTTCTTTCAGCTTATGGGAGTCACGGTAAACATGTCCTCCGGCTACCATCCTCAGACAAAAGGCCAGACTGAGCATAAGATCCAGGAGCTCGGACGTTACCTCCGGTCATACTGCCATGACGACCAGCACAGCTGGAGCCGCTTCCTCCCTTGGGCCGAGTACGCCCAGAACTCTCTTCGCCTGGACACCACCGGACTGACTCCCTTCCAATGAGGTTCCAGCTGAGGACCACTGGTTCCAAGCAAGCGAGAGAGTGTGGGACTCAGCTCACATCCACCTTCAGCGCGCTGTGCGGAGGCACAAGACCTTTGCAGATGTCCAATGCTCCGATACCCCATCATACCAGCCAGGGAAGAAGGTGTGGCTGTCTACCCGGGATCTGCGCCTCCGCCATCCATGCCGAAAGCTGAGTCCCCGCTACATTGGTCCGTTCCCCATACAGAGGCAGCTCAACGAGGTCACCTATCAGCTACAACTTCCCCCCCAGGTACCGCATTCACCCTGCCTTCCATGTTTCACTCTTAAAACCATTCTCTCCATCTGCACCAGGACCCACCGAGCCGGAGAAACCTCCTCCTCCAGAAATCCTAGACCAACCATCTGTCTACCAGGTCCGGGACATTCTGGATGTGCGGCGACGGGGTGGCCGGCTCGAATATCTCATTGATTGGGAGGGATACGGACCTGACGAGAGATCTTGGGTGGCCCGGGATGACGTACAGGATCCCACTCTATTGACTGAGTTTCACCGTCTCCATCCTGATCGTCCCGCACCCAGAGGCCGTCGCCGCCAGGAGCCGCCCCTGGAGGAGGGGGTAATGTCAGGGATTCCACACAGTCACCACAGTCTTAAAGGGTAGGGTTGGTGTAGGGCAATAGCACATACAGTTTGTACTGTATAAAAACCATTACGCCTATGGAATGTCCCCACAATTCACAAAAACAAACCTGTGTGTGTGTGTGTGTGTGTTTATTTACCGTTGACAAACACGGCGAATCGCAGGAAGGACAGGTAACGCTCGCCCTCGATAGGGTTCCAGCCGATGTCTGGATATCCCTTGGCCAGGAGCATCGGACAGCTCTGCAGACCGCAGCCGGCCAGATACGTCACGACCTGCACACATACACACCACAGACACACTGACGCATGAGTGCATCATCGGTTATACAAACAGATCAACACTGCAACTTTATGATGCAACCAAACGGGACCAAATGTGAAAGGAAACCCATCTTATGCTGTAAACACACACCTTGTCCAGGTCGGGCTCCTCGAGCGCCAGCGCCAGACCATTGTTGTCCATCACCGATGAAGCCGCCACGTCTAAAGGAGTGGATCCTCTCATGGACGGAGATGCTGCGTTACAGCAGGGGTTCATAAATACACATGACTATACATGAACAGCTGATCTTTCATTCGTAAAAATGCCAAAATCAAATAAATATCTTTAAATTAAAAACAATGAAAATTAAAACTTACCGATAATGTATTAAATCATAAAAATGTCAAATTAAAATAAACAATCCAAATAAAACTCCTACTAATAATTAAACCATAAAAATTTAAAATTTAAATAAAAAAATAAAAACAAATAATCAAAATAAAAGACCTACTTATAATTAAACCATAAAAATTTAAAATAAAAAAATAAAAAAATAAATAAAAACAATCTGAATAAAACTCTTACTAATAATTAAACAATACAATTTAAAAATGTAAATAAAAAAAATTAAATAAAAAGAATTAAAATAAAACACTTTCTAATTAAATCATAAATGTCAGAATAAAATTAATAATCAAAATAAATAATGAATTAAAATAATAATGAATTAAATCATAAAAATGTCACATTAAAATAAATATTTGTAAAATAAAAATATCTAAATAAAACATATCAATATTTTTTTAATCATAATAAAATAAAATTTGATTAAAATAATAATATAATCAAAATAAAACACCAATAAATGATTAAATTACAAAAAATTTGAAATTAAAATGAATAATTTTAAAATAAAAACACTTAAAATAAAACACTTAATAAATCATAAAAATGTCAAATTAAAATAAATAATAAAAAAGCACTTACCAATAATTAATTAAATTACAAAAATGTCAAATTAAAATAAGCAATTTTAAAATAAAAACAATCAAAATAAAACATTTATTAATAATTAATTAAATCATAAAAATGTCAAATTAAATAAAATAATTGTAAGTAAAAACAATCAAAATAAAACACTAAAAAAAAGATTTAATATTTTATTTGTTTACCTGCGTGTCACCATCAACTAACATCAGAGAACCGTGAGAGTGTGAATGTGCTGTTAAATTATTTAAATATTAACTAATCTCATGGGGACTTATTTTCACTTGATCGGGTTCAGCTGATGAAAACGTATGTGAATCGCTGGACTAAACCATAATTTAAGAAAGGAGGAATTTCCATCATCATTACTCCAGTCTTCAGTGTCACTTTATACACACACACACTCTCTCACACACACACACACACACACACACACACACACACACACTCTCTCTCTCTCTCTCTCTCTCGCTCTCACACACACACACCAGCAGAGGGCAGCACATCATCTCAGTTCTCGATGACTTCAGCTCCTCTGTGGGTTTTCACCTGTTTCCTCTGCTTTATGTGCCGTGTTTGAGTATCACTCACCCAGTCCCACGCTGCTGTTCTCCAGCAGGTAGCTCAGGTGATCAAACATGGCCTTCTGGTTCTGACGGCTGATGCGACAGAAGTAGCACAGGAAGCGGCAGCAGCTCGCCACCATCTTAGGGAAGGCGATTTCCTGTTACAGAAGGAAACAGAATCAGGAGGATTCATCAGATCCACACGTCTTCATGTGAGCCTGTGCCATTGATCTGCTGCTGCATGTGTGTGTTTGGATCAATACTGGACAGCAAAGACTCATCAATCACTCACACACTCACACACACTCTCTCTCACACACACACACACACACACACACACACAGAAGTACTCCAGAACAATCACGCGTTACACAGGCTGTGTTTGCATCAGAGTAAAAATGCACTGTACAGTATCTAAATATGGAACTCTTCTGCTCATCAAGGCTGCATTTATTTGATCAGAAATACAGAAAAATTGTAATATTGTGAAATATTTTTACTATTTAAAACAGCTGTTTTCTATGTGAATATCTGTTAAACTGTAATTTATTCCTGTGATCAAAGCTGAATTTTCAGCATATATTACTGTTTTTTCTGTATTTTTGATCAAATAAATGCAGGCTTGATGAGCAGAAGAGACTTCTTTAAAAAACATTACAAATCTTACTGATCCCAAACTTTTGAACAGCAGTGTATATACATATTTATTTATATATACTGAGATACTTTTATAGGTTTATTAATATTTTGAATCAGTATTTATCTTTATATATATTTTTTTTAATTAAAATTTTAAAGTTTTAGTAATTTTGTTGTCATTTTTATTTTTACATTTTTGTTATCTGACACATGAATGACTCTAATGAACTGCTTCTTTGAATGAATCAGTCAAAAAGACTCACTAGTTATTCTGAATCAGTCTAATGAATCACTTTAGAGCCGTGGCTCTCAACCAATAGAGACTTAAAATTATTCAATTATATTTTAAAATTAATCGAACTTAATTCAAAACCTTAAAAAAAAAAAACGAGATGCAAACTGAAATCATCCCCCCCCCCCAAATTGTAT